CAATACATGATTACGTTGATCAGTATCCTGCGATGGCTCAAAAATATCTGACTGAATACTGGACAAATGATGAAAATATCGATACGGTTTATGGTCCCAAATATGATCCAGTAACATCGAAATGGTCTCTCAACGGAAAAGAAATGAATTTCCATCGAAGAACTGGAGATATACTTCTTGATGGCTTTCGGTTCCGTTGCACCCCAGGCCTCTATCAATTACTCTTCTATAATGATCCATCCTTTGCCAAAGATGATACGAACCCATACAAGCAAATACTCTTGCTCACCAAAGCTCATCTGAATTCTGCAGGACGTATGAAGTCTTCCTCTAGACTCAAATACGTAGAAATTATTCGTCCAATGTTCAGATCCAATTCCAGTGGTCGTGGTTTGAAGTTGACATACAACACAGCACCTATCGAATACATGTATTGGGATGATCCAAACGAATTGGTAGATAGATTGAAGTTGCTCATTGCATCACAGCAAGCCGGAAATACATCAAACGATAACGAGATTGTTGCCATCTTGAACGAATTAGAAGAGGCAGGCATAATAAAACATGTGTGACATTTCTGTGATACTTCCGTGACACTTCCATGACAACTTCCGTGACAGTTCCTTGACACTTCCGTGACACTTCCTTGACACTTCCGTGACAGTTCCGTGACACTTCCTTGACACTTCCGTGAACTTCCGTTACACTTCCTTGACACTTCTGTGACAGTTCCGTGACACGTCCATGGCATGTCTATGAGTGAAGGGGCTAATAATTGGCGAGGCAAAGTGCCGACCATTATCGATAACGTACAATACTTTAGTCATTAGCATAATGAGTCTCGACAAATTCGGACGTGGTTCGTTTCCACGCTCAGCTCAGATGGTGACAGTTAGATCTGGATTTTCACATACTCCAACCGGTGATATTGATGTTGGTCATTTGAAGATGTGTAACGTAAAACTACCAACAGATGCCGCTGATGTTGCAAACAAACAATATGTGGATGAAGTTATATCGCAAATAAAGTTAGATTTCAAGATTGCTTTCGATAATTACGGTGAAAAAATCCGAAATTACCTTGCTGGCTTCAGCAGCGAAATAATCGAAGAAAGGAAGAGAGTGGATGTACATGATCTGAAACTGACATCGTACAATACAAACTTTGTTCAGTTGTCTGGCATAGTGCACAAGATCAACATACATGTGGAGCAGCTTCGCAACAACTCTCTACCAAAACTCGAAAGCGACATCGACTTGAATGTGAAAAATATTCTAGAACTTGTCGATAAGATTGACAACACTGTGAAGAGTTTGCACGATTTGAAGGCTGAGCACCAACACAGCCGTGATAAAGAACGCCAACTTGCTGATGTCATTGATCAAATGAAAAAAGATCTGGCCAAGATTGCCATCACTCCAAAATCTACGACAACACCACCGCCACCAAAAAGGAAGCCTCCTGTGTGAAACCCATCATATAAACTCCTAATCCAACGAAGTCAATATGTCACATTCTAAAGAAAAAATCCAACTCGTCAATGAATTACATAGACCTGCTAGGAAAAAATTTCCAAGGCGCCGCATTATCATCAAAGGTTTGGATGACTTATGGCAAATGGATCTAGCCGAAATGCGACCTTATGCCTCTGTAAATAAGGATCACAAGCTGATAATGGTCGTGATTGATTGTTTTTCCAAGTACCTATGGACTAGACCACTAAAATCAAAAACTGGTGCTGAAATCGCTCGTGCATTTGCTGATATTCTATCGCATGCCAACAACAGAATTCCCAAGAATTTGCAAACCGATCAAGGTACCGAATTCTACAACGAAAAGTTTCAAAGTCTGATGAAAAAGTTCTCCATCAACCATTATCATACGTACACTATAATGAAGGCAGCCATTGCTGAACGTGTTATACGGACATTGAAGGAAAAACTATACAAGTACTTTAGTTTGAATGGCTCATACCGTTGGATAGATGTCCTGCCTGAAATCACGAAAAATTATAATAACACGAAACATACGATAATAAGATGCAAGCCCAGTGACATCACCAAAGCCAACGAACAAGACATTCTCAAATCCGTCTACAATCACATAAAAATTACTGGAATTAGAAAATTTAACGTTGGTGACATTGTGAGAATCAGCAAAGCCAAACATGTTTTCGAAAAGAATTATACGCCAAATTGGACTACTGAACTATTTAAAATCGTTAAAGTTCGTATTACGAAACCTACTACATATCTCTTGGAAGATTTGCATGGTACTCCGATCAAAGGTGCTTTTTATCCTGAAGAATTGCAAAAAACTATAAATCCTGACATCTATCTAGTGGAAAAAGTTTTAAGAAAAAAAGGCAAAAAGGTGTTTGTCAAATGGTTGGGATTCGATGATACACACAATAGTTGGATTGATTCCAACAATAAATTATAATGCAAACATATGGAAAAGAAGCACACATTCAATGGCTATGAGAGGGCCTTTCATCGATCACTAACAAATAACCTGTTATTCCAATCTGCCGGATGTTATGATCAGTCAACAGTTATGGTATAAATAATGAGGACTGAAACTTTCAACACATCAGTTCGAGAACAATGAGTGAAGACTCTGGTTATTCATCTAGTGAAGTGCTTTTCGAAGACGGTAGTTCTAGATCATCATCATCAATGATGGGTTATTATGGTGATGTCAATACATATTTGGACATGATTGAACAAGCAGCGAAAGCCGAATCACACCACCTGCTGAATACATCGTTCCAGTTGTCCACTTACACAATCCAGTGTGGACTCAGTCCAGCTAGACAATTTAGTCCGGCCATCATTCTGAAAAAGCCCTTCTACCCAGCGAAAATTTCATTCAGTACTTACGAATGGGCCACCTTCATCGATTTGCTGCATAAGACACAACAAGACTTTTTTGAACAACCCCTACCTGGTTTTATTGATGAATATGAGCCGATCATTACTGCTTGTGGAGACTATGCTACCGTAGCCAAACATGTCTGCGATGGTGTCAAAATGTTGACCCTCTCCAAATACCACGTCATATTCGATCTGATGGAAGAAGATGTTGCAGACATTTTGAGTGCTGAAATGTGCATTGTTTCACATCGAGTTAATTTAATCAATGACTTGGACTTTTTTATGTTTTATCAGAATATTATGAATGTAATAGCTGAATGGATAAAAAATAAACTGACTGTTTTGAGTGCACAAGAGCTTATATTAGGGTTTTGCGATGTTTGCAATAGCATGTCTAGTAACGCTCTCAGAGAATATCTATATTACTGTAAAAATGAATTGATGGCTGATTTGAATAAAAACCTGTGAAATATGTGAATCGTTTTTTATTTATTTCATCAGTCTACAACTTGACGCGAAACTAGTAGCATCTGAAATATTTTAGCTCTGCTCGAAAAATCATGAAGTCTGAAATAGCTGTGCTATTGGAGTTTATAAAATCTCCTGCTTTGACTTTGACGAAATTCACTGAACAAGAATTGCAGTACATTCCAGTAGAATGTCTCATTGAATATGCAGATCCTTATGGGCTATTAAGAGTGTGGCACAAACTTCCTCAAGAATATCGCAGCAACTTTAATCTACAAATCAAACTGCCATGCTTCGTTCATTATAATCGTCCCGATTGGACTACACACTGGGATGGACCGCCATCTTCTCAAGAGGCATGTCATTTTTGTAGAAAAGGATTACTTAAATAAATAGATTATTTATCTTCGTTTTCGTATTCTTTCACCCTCATGGGCCGCCCTGTATATATTTTTTTTTTTTCAATCTTCATCAACTCAAACGCCCTGTATATGAAAATTCAATCTTGTTATTGTCATTAAAGTCACAGTTTGAGGAATGGGTATACGAGCGCACGCTTATCATTCTAAGGGATCTCTCGCTTTGCTTCGAACGCCATGAATCGAGACAGCGTTGCCACACACAATAATGTAACAATATTAACACTCAAACGCATACGTCCGACAACGCTGCAGCACCGCGCGCTCGAGCCTTACTCTACCTCGATAGATCCGTTGCAAAGATAAGCGCGCGCCAGCGATGGATATTATTTTCGACTCGAAGTTTCTTATCTCTGGAATGCATCTCTCGCTTCACTGTACCTCGATAGATCCGTTGCAAAGATAAGCGCGCGCCATCGATGGATATTATTTTCGACTCGAAGTTTCTTATCTTTGGAATGCATCTCTCGCTTCACTCTACCTCGATGGATCCGTTGCAAAGATAAGCGCACGCCAGCTATGGATATCCCGTTTGAATAGCATTAAAATAATTGGCATATCACGGAGGTCGGAATACCACAGTGCGTATATACGCTGCCTCGTAATGCAAAGGTCCCTGGTTCAATTTCCCCCAGCGGTGACAGCTTTTTTTAATTTATTTATTTAAAAATTCATCATGATGATGATGTCGTCACCATCTTGTTATTGTCATTAAAGTGTTATTTGTTGCGGTTTCGATAAGCTCGCGCTCCCGCTACCCCGCTTCCCCGCTAGAACACAGGCCGCGTTCCAGTTAAGATTAAAGCATGTATTTCCCTATGCTGGTAGTCGTGCTCTCTTAGTTTTAACTACTAACATGTACTTTTTATCACCGAAAAATAGTGCTAGCAGTATGCCATCGAACAAATCAATGGGCCATTGCATCGCCAGCTATGTTGTGTTTGCTGGGTGGTTATGTTTGACTAATGTCAGTGCTTGTTTTAGTGTCTGTACTCTGAATATACAAAAACGTCCCATTTGTAGTAAAACGGAATGTACTACTCAATTGTTTTTTTCAAGGAAAACATGAGTTTCAAGAAAGTGTAGTTTTGATAAAAAAATGTCGAAAGTTCAATATGAAAAACAACTGGATGACGCCCTGGCCAATGATTCAATTCTCACTCATCATTGGTCATATTTTCCTCACAAATTATGTTTAGCTGTTTGATAACTACACATTATATCAATATTTTGCAGGTTCTTTGCTGTGATTTCTATCTTGGGATCGGTCTACACATACATTCTCCTGCCAGAAACCCACGGCAAAAAATTGTCTGAGATAACGAACTACTTCGTCCACAATACCATTTTCATCGGATCGTCTAAGAATGCACCGCCCAAAGCACAGAAGAAAACCGCTGTTGCCAGTAGGGTGGCAAAAAAAGACATCGTAAAGTCCAATGGCCAGAATCAAAAGTTGATGGAGAATGTTTGAAATCATTGCGTCCTTATGTTAAGTTCAACCAGTACAACAAACTAGTGAAAAAAACAACGTTTTTCCACCACTATAGCTATAGAACTCACCATTATATACCCCTTTTCAAGGTATTTATACCCCTCAGCTGATATGATGATGATCATGATACAAACTCGGTTCGTGAGTAATAATGATATTATTTACTACCTTGGTGTATAAATAGCTATTTTGCATGACCTATTCAGGGTATTCCTTCCTTGCTAAGGTAGGTATAACAAAGCAAGTTGGGATTGCTTGGTGAAAAAATGTCGTAACGCCATCGGTTTTCATGGTACAAGGTGTTGAAAATAATAATATAATTCAACACATATTTCGAGATGTAATTTGTTCTAGAAGCTGACAAATCGCATGAATTTGTTTTTTTATATCTGACTTTCATAGACGGCACTATTCACACGGTTGGTACCGAGTAATTTTGAAGATAACTTTTTTGAGGTTGGATTTTTCAGACCGAGTTTCATGTGAACATAAACATCATTCAATTTGAAAACTAAAAGATTCTTTCGATAAAACTCATCACTGTGTATTTTGATTTGGAAATAATGGAATAAGGGCTGTTGCTGAAGGTAAACTTGAGTGTTATTGAGATCGGTTACCTATTCATTCAAATTCTAAAACGATAAAATTATTCTTGTACTCAAGTTATTGATTTGATATAGAATCACAAATGCAAAATTTAGATAAATTGTACTGAAAACATAAAATATTGAATAGTTAGAAGTTAGACTAAAAATTTATTCGAATGTTATTCTTGTGATTCATGAAAGTACAGCATTAGAAAAATATTGTTGTTCTTGAATTCAAATAAACAACTCCAAAAAATAGCTTAAACCAGCAACAGTTATCTCTTCATCGCTTTTAAATCAAAATATCCCTCAACCTGGTACACAGTATCGAGTTTCACCAAGAGTACCATTTTGGTTTGGAATTGAATGATGTTCAAGTTCACATTGAATTTGGATTGAAAGATCTAACCTCAAACAAGTTATGTTTAAAAATACTCGGTACAAACCGTGTAACTAGCGCCCTCTATGAGAGTAAGATATAAAAACGAATTCATGTGATGTGTCAGCTTCCAAAACACATCCATGCAAAATTTCTTTGGAATGTTGCCAGTAGTTTCGACATAATTGTAAATTATATGCAAAACGAAATATTTCAAACACCTTGTACCTCGGAAACGGATGTCGTTATGACATTTCTTCACAGAGCAAATCCAACTCATTTTGCAGTGTTTTACCTACCCTAGCAGGAATGTCACCTTTTTTGGAACCTGTATACGGGCCTACCAACAAGAACTTGACACCCCTTGTAACTAGAAAACCGAATCCTTCATCAGAAATCGCCTGAATCTGTCGATTTTTATACTTGGGTGAAGCATTATATATACTGTTAAATAGAGTTCCCAAATGTATTTGACACTGTTAGTTTGAAGTTCTTTTGAATAAAAACCGTCAAAACAGCAGTGTCAAATACATTTAGGAACTCTACCCCTAGCAACCGCAACTTCGAAATTTCAAATGGAACTACCCTTTTTGCCGTCACAGAAAATATCCATTGTAAGACATGCAAATTTATGGAAAAACCGTGTTTCAAAGAAGTTTCCAACCTTAAATAGATATCTTGGAATATGGTGAAATAAAACATTTGAAAATGTATTCATGTTCAACAAATGTTTGCTCATACTGACGAAATTCAATCATGACAATTCATTTTTAATGACGATTTATCATTGGCTAAGAAAAAACAACAGAACTGATGGAAAGAAAGCACCTTTTCCATGCACGATGATCTACAGAGGAAGCTCAAAGACTCGGTGAATATAATTCTTATTTTTCGAATATATCGAAATTTTCACACAAAATCAAGGGGCATTGTTTCCTTTTAGTGTCAGAATATCATCAATATTTTTTTATAGAGTCCATACTCCATACACAGAATGCTAGCAAATATCATTTGAAAACAACGAAAAATCTTTGAAGTAACCTATACACCAAATGTATAACTTCATTCCAAACAATCAGAAAACAACTTTTGATTCAATATTCATCTGGGTACTGAACCGATTCATGAATTAATACAAGTGTCTTTTTCTCTCTATACAGGGTGTTTCAGATTTAAATATACATACGATACCTGTAGATAGAGGAAGCTTTGATGTTTCCAAAAATTAATTGATAATTCTTTGATTGAGAACTTTTGAACCACTTTGTATAATCTATACATACTTGGTAGAAATATGTCACTTATATTACCCATCGAAACTAAACAAAAATTGGAATCAGAATCCAGCTGCGTATTTGCCAAATATTTTATTATTATTTTCTGAAATACTCGGCTTCATTTTGAGGCATTTTTATAGAAATCCTCATTCAAAATCCAATTCTTTAACAGAAAAAGAACAGTCTTCTGAGTCAAATTAGGTGAACTATTGAAATATTTGTTCGTTTGACAGAATAACTTTGCTGTGGTTTCAGAAATTATTGAGGGCTCATTTTATTCTCACTAATAATAATTCATGAGTTGGGATAAAGTAGGCTTTGCAAAAAGTTCTGATATTCTGACAGTTGTGGGAAAGCCTTTTTTTTCGATAAAACATAACGTAAATATGGGAGAGGGCCTTCACGATGAATAACCCTGTATACATTCAAGTCTGAAACACCCTGTATATATTATACTGAGCTTGAAATGCTGATATTTTCTACTTATGAAAGTCAAATTTTATTTTGACTACTACAAATTTTACTACTTAAGTATTAAGTATTTTTACTTAAGAACCATAAAATTTATATTTAAGTGAACGTATTCATATTTTTCATAAATCATTTTTAATTTATATTTCGATATTTATGTAATGCATTTCATTGTTCGTAGTGATACAAAACTTTTTGAGGGTTTTTGAATCTACTCAATATTTGGACGGAACGTACAGGGTGTCCCAAAATTGCTGGGCACAGAGCTACCACGTGTAATTGACGTCAATGTAAATTGATTGGACCAAATTCATTTATATACTAAAATGTACAGTTTGAAGTGAAGCTTCAATGTCAGATGTTGGTAATCATTGGAAGAAGTCCATGGTAACCCAAGGTCGATCATCATGTCCACAACTTTCATTTTAACTGATCAGACAGACATAAAGGAGCATGTTCCGGGTTTATATGTACCTTCCATCAGCTAATTGAATGGCAAATAGTTCCACAATTGTTAGTAACTCACATGGAAAGGAAATATGACGAAAATCAAACTAATACAGACAAGAGAGGGCTCAAATTTTGATTTTGAAAATAATCATTCGAAAGGCAGTTACAGACAATAGATATTCACGTAAACAGTTAGGAAACGTGTCATTTTGTGTGACGATGGGATTTTGCGGGACGAGCGAATAAGCGAGATCCTCCTAAAAAACAGGTGCATTTCATTTTTTGAGTCGAATTTACCTTTCCATAAATTAAGGTGGCAGTAATATATTGAACATTCATTTCCACTGCCACCTAATAATTGTTTTATTAAAATGTTATTCAACTTGTAGTGAGAATATTGAATAAAACATCTATTTCCTTCGGGAATATGTGGATTACGAAGTGTTTACAAAAGTAACAAAATGAAGATTTACTTTATCTTCTCGTTGAAGACAATTCAGAATCGTATGACCACCCTTATAAATGTTCTGAAGAAAATGTCAGGGGGTCAGAGTAGTTTCAATTCTGCTACAATTCTTTTTGGGTTTCTTTGCTTACTGAAAGGAGAGTGAACCTGTATAATGCACTTTTGTCAAATTTCATGAAATTTGTTCCACTCATTTCTGAACAGCAAACAAAAATGTGGTTTTTCAAGTCACCTTCGAACTCTTCTCATGGACAAATTGTACACGGTACACTTTGGTTTATAAATGAATTGGGTCCAATGTACTTATACTGACTTCTACTATACACATGGCGTAGCTCTGTGTCCAACAATTTTGGGACACCCTGAATATCTCTTTCATTTTGAAGAGAGCGTCTTTCAACATGTTACCAGTATTGCATAATTTTAAGGATTTTTAATAGATTTTGTCATTTTAATCTACACCTGTTTTGTTTCATTTCCAATCCCCTATACTTTCAGCGTGATCTTCACACAGTGTTTCAGATTGTAACCGGAAAATTTTGGAGTTTTGTTTTAAAGTTGAGAGGTGTTGAAGTTTTGTTTTTTATTCACAGCTCGAAATTTCCTCTACTGATTTCCGTTTAAGTCAGAAGTTTGATTGTAATATGGAAACGTATCTTTTGGTGTAACTGAATTCACCGTAATTTTTCCAGTGGCGCCCCAGAAGGTTACCTATTTTTATTGAATTTAACAATATGGAAGATACAACTTATGTCTTGTTCGATGGTGTTTCTGTGTATCCTGCTTAGTTAAAGAAAATGAGGAACTGATTTGAATCCAAATTCTAATGAGGTCGATAGCCATAATGAGTATAATTATTTATAGATTCCGAAGAGATTTTTCAGTAATGGACCACAGTGAATTTTGGCATGATGAAAGCATACAAGGTGATAAAAGAAAAAGACGAATATATAATATTTCAAACGTCAACACATATATTTTATCTCGAAAAGTAATAAGCTTCAAAATGAACGAGTTTATGTAAACTTTTCCTCCTATTTCTGTTCATGCATTTTTCGTGATATTTCGAATACATTTGACAGCGTTGATCATCTAAAACTGTTAAGGAAGCAGCACTTAGAAATATATATAGCTTCAGAAATATATCGTTCAAATCATTCAGATCGAACTCAAGAAGAAACACTCAAGGCGATATATCACACCTCCATCGTTATAGCTTGTGGGGTCCACGAGGATCTAACCTTTGGCCTATTCTCTTTTTGCTTTATGAAATAAATCTTGAAAAAATTGGGGCATTTTTTATAGCATCGGTTACTAGTTCGCATACTTTCCTGTATATCAAATCATGTTTTTCGTACCACGAAACGCTCAGTGAGATCAAATTACCTTTAGGTACCGAATTTCGTGATTCTAGAATCAATTGTATCATAATATTTTGATGGAAACCGGATTTAGGGACCTATCTTCAAAGGGCTATACCTCCTCTTAAGAAGTATTTTGGGACACAATGTTGTTAGGAACATTTTTTCTTACTGTTATCTGTAGAATTACTTCTCAGAGTATCCAAACAAAATTCTAGAAGTCCCTGTTTAAATCTCTGTGAATCTTTGTCAAGAGAAGTACCTATACACTATCTTTTTCAGACACTTATAGTTATTCATGTATCAAGGGCGTAAAATTGGCTTTTATGGACCGTAGCGCGCAAGTAAAAGCCCGAGCGACAGCGGGGGCTATTAACACGCCTAGGTTCATAAAAGCAAATTACGCTCGAAATACATAAAACACTTTATCCACTATAGCGGGCGATAAAGTGCTCTTTATCGCTTGGTTTTAACGGACCACAATACCCATATCCTTGATGATATAGTACACAGAGCCCATATACAGTCTGTCCAAGATAAGGTTGAACAGCATGGAGATCTCGAAAACGGTAAGAGATACGAAATCGGTTAAATGGGGAAAAAGTTGCGCATTCGAAGGCTCATATCAAGAGCCTTCGACAATTTTGAAAATTATTTTTAGTTTTTGAGTTATATCGAAAAAAGTGAATTTTTGGAATTTCTATTTTATTTTTTTTTCTCCGTTATTATTGGAGATACAGCAAAACTGAGAATACTTTTTCATTGCAACTTTTGATGACGGTCAACGTGGTGATACCGATTTTTTCATGCGACGTTTCGTATTCGTGGAACCATCATCAACTTTTGTTTTTTAAATACGATCCTGATAATTTTTTCACAGATTCTAAAAGGTTTTTTTATTCTGAATTCAACCATGTATTATACAAGGTGGTTTATTCGTGTTTCGACCTATTTCCATCCATCATCAATGTTTTTTCGAAACTCCAAAGGAAAAATGCCATCAGTTCCACTTATTTTGAAGGAAAATTAGTCAACACACTAATACCTCATCAACTGGTTTCAATCAACAACCCATTTCATTTTGCGGAAACAAAAATTCCATCCATACAAATTCAGAATATGTCAAGCGCTAAAACCAGGAGATGACGAAAGGCGCAAGACATCCTGTGAGTGGTATACCAGGAAATGTTAAAATTTTGCAGATTTCTTTCGGATAATCATCTGGACTGATGAAAGCATGGTCACTAATCATGGTAGCTTCGATAGAAAAAATACACATTATTGTTCACGAGAAAATGAACATTTATACATTACAGCGAGACACCAACACCGTTTCGGCTTTAATATGTGGGTTGCAATATTTGGTACACGAATTATTGTTCCTTCTATTTACCATGAAACACAGACTTCCGAACGTTATAGAAATTCGCTTGAGAATCATCTTGAGGAAGCTCTGGATGATTTACCGATTGCGGAAGTTCAGAACTCTGTTGGTGTCAACAAGATGGCGCTCCGGTACATAATTCCAGAGAAGTCCGTGCGTTTTTATCCAGAAAAATGGATTGGTACTCATTCTACAGTCCCTTGGCTGGCGCGGTCACCTGATTTGACACAGCTGGATTTTTTCTTAGGGGATATATCGAACTTTGTACACGCAAATAACTTTGAGGATGAAGAAGAACTAAGGGACAGTGTCTTCGAAGCATTCAATAGAATAACCCCAGAAATGCTTAGCAATGTCTTAGAAACAACTGTGAGAAGAGGATAT